CACGCTGGGATGGGTGGGGCTGCCAAGGGCTGCAAAGACCAGCGGGATCTTCCCACTACTTTAGCTGCCACTCGCCTTCTGCGCGTGCTCAGAATCCCCACGGATTTGGCTTCTGGGCTGTCAGTGAGGTGGGGCGTTCTCCCAGCCTCATCCAATGAGCTCAGCTGATGCTTCTGCGTCGACCAATGGGGCTTCGAGAAGCCTGTCCGATCCCGCCTTCCGTGCCTGTTGGGGTCTTCGAACTCAGACCCGGCGCGCTGTCACATTTGGGTGAGGATATTTGGAAGTCAGCAGAAATTTTGCTCCTATAAAGAGGAAAAAGGAAGCTGGGGACTCAGATTCCTGAGGAAAGCCAAGGCCGAGGGTCAGGACTTCTGGGTCTGAGGGGTCCAGGGCTGAGTGAGGGTCTGGAATCCCGGGCCTGACAGGGGAGGAAGGGGGGTGCCGGAATCGTGTGTCCTGTGGGAAAACGTGGCTGGAACCCAAACCCTTGGGTCCCGAGGTAGACAGGGGCTCCCAGAGTCCCGGATACTGATGAAGCCAGGGGCCGGGGGCCGAAACACGGAGGCCGTGAGAGAGATTCGAGCTGAGTCCGAGGGAGAAGGCGCCTCTTCGCGCCCAGACTCCCGATCGCGATCCCGAGGGTGGGAGGTGCGGGTCCCCGAGTTCCTCAGTCGGAGGGAGCGGGTGGCTGGGTCTGAGATGACCCACCAGCTGTGGAAACCGAGGCACTGCGAACTGGCCCCAAGTCCCAGCCACAGAGGGACGCGCTGACCGGCTCAGAGGTCGCAGTCTTAGTGCCCTGAGCTCTGCCCTCAAGTCAGCACTTGCCAGAACCTAAGTTGACTCCCACTGCGCCTGGATGAAAAGTTGCCTTTTCTCCATCAAACCGCGCAGATCCCGCTAGGTCTTCCCAGCCTCCGAGGAAGCCATGGGCCCCCGCCACACCCAGGGCTTGCTGCTGCTCTTCCTCCTGGGAGCGTCCTCCTCCACCGGTAGGTAGGGGAGCTCCTGGGGGCTGCGGGGAGCTGGGTCCCCCAGGGGGGATTTACGAGGAAGGAGGTGTTGCATTAGCCCTCAGTCTTAGGGAGCAGGTGGCTGGGTCTGAGAATTGAGGGTAAGTATTCCTTTTTATTTTTTTTAATTTATTTTTTTGAGGCAGAGTCGCATTCTGTCTCCCTCGGTAGAGTGCCTGGCGTCACAGCTCACAGCAACCTCAACCTCTTGGGCTCAAGCGACCCTCTTGCCTCAGCCTCCCGAGTAGCTGGGACTACAGGGGCCAGCCACAAGGGCCGGCTAGTTTTTCTATTTTTGGTAGAGAGGGAGGCTCAGGCTGATTTCTAACTCCTGAGCTAAGCAATCCACCCTCCTCAACCACCTAGAGTGCTGGGATTACAGGCGGGAGCCACCGTGCCTGGCCATGCAAGTGCTTACTTTTAATCTCATTCCACCCCCCAGAGGCCCCAGAGGTACAATGTTTTAAGAATGTATCCATGTATATAGAAGAGAAGGATTACCATGCATTTACCTGGACCACAGAGAACGTTGAAACTTGTGACAATGTAACATTCTGCCAGGAATCCATACTAATAATTAAAGCAGGTAAAGGAGAATGGGCCAGTTGGGTTGGGGATGAGGGAGGGAGGGTGGGGGATTTATGTCCACATAGATGCTATTCTCCCTGCTTCAGGCGAATGGTTAGGCTCACTGTCTGCTTTCCCTCTCTCTTCTCTCAAAACAGGGACCAAGACAGCTATTTTGGCCACTAAGGGCTGCATACCTGCAACCATGGAGGAGATTATGTATATTCAGCACACCCCACCCCCGGGCCTGGTCGCAGTCTCCTACAGTAGCTACTGTGACAAGTCTGTATGTAACGACAAAGACAGATTAAATGAGTTTGGGAATCTACAAGAGATCCCAGGTACCCTGGAGTGGGTTGAGGGAGGGTGGGCAGATTAGGACTAAGAGAAACTGCATAAAGAGATCGCGTATCTTCTCTCTTCCTGTTCTTTACTTGCCAAGTGGACCATGCACAAAAGGACCTCACAGTTCAAACGATCATCTTGCTTCTTCTGAATTTTCTTTAGAGTCTGAACACTGCACAGAGTAGAGGAAAATCAACAAAGGCTGGAGTGTAAACTGGGTTTTGTGTTTATTAAGCAATAAGATGTCAGTGTAGGTGAACAGGATGGTGATATTATCATTCCAACAGGTATCGGTTCCCCATTGCTACATGACAACAGTTTGGACCCAATTCCTCAGTTTGGACTCAAGACCCTACAGTAACCTAGCCCTGCCTATCTTTTCAGCTTCTTTCCCCTCTCTTCCCTCTCTTATTGTTCTACCTGGGGCTGATATTAAAAATACTTAACAATGGAGATGACACTAGCCAATGAGAATGAATGCTGGCCATAAAAAATGAAACAGCTCAGCCCTGCTGTGCCTACCAGCTGAGTATCAGCCCTTTGGTTTCACAACCAATAAGCTGGCTCATGCCTCCTGGCCTTTGTCCTTGCTGTTCCCTTTGCTACCCCACTGCAACCCCCATTTTCACACAGCTAACCCCTGTTCACCCAGGTATCAGCTTTTTGAAAATACTTACTGAATTCTTTTAGATACTTAGATGCTCCTCTATTCCTTTGCCAGTATACCCTGAACAACTACTGAGTTGGTGTTGTGGTTAATTACTAACATGACTTTCTCCTTGTAGACAGTGATGCTAGATGGCAGAAACTATGCCCTTTTCATCTCTATATGTCCACACCTGAGCACAGAGTTTGGTAATCAAGTTGATGGGGCTCTGACAGCAGAGACAGTCAGCTGAAGAAGTATGGGGAAGCTACAGTAATTGGCTGTCATTGATTAGAGTAGCATCAGCAGGAAAGAATTGAGGAAGAGAAGGCAGCAAGGAGGAGTATCTCTGAAGGCACGACATACCCTAACTGTCCCTCTCTTTCCCTTCCAGTCACCCCCACTGTGTCACCAACCCTCCAATGCCCAACCTGCGTGGCTTTGGGGACCTGTGACAGTGCTCCTTCTCTTCCCTGTCCCCAAGGTGCAACTCGTTGCTATGAAGGAAGACTTGAGATTGCTGGAGGTAAACTGCAATGAACATCGAATGGTTTCAGAGGCTGGAAAACCAGACATCTGAGTAGATACCAAGAGGTTCTGATGCTCAGGCTTCCAGGGATGAGTGTCTGGGCTGGATTCCCCTCTGATTTCCTAAGACATCTATGTGTCTCCCTATCCTTCTGTGTTCTGTAGGTGGCATCGAGTCATCTGTGGAAGTCAAAGGCTGTACAGCCCTGATGGGTTGCAGGCTGATGGCTGGAATGTTAACAGTAGGACCCATGTTGGTGAAGGAAATCTGCCAGAACAAGCCTCTCACTCAAACCCCAAAGGCCGAAAGTGGAGCCACCTGTCTTCCCATTTTGGTTTGGAGGTTACACCTACTGCTGCCATTGGTGCTAGAATCATTGGTCCATTTTTCCTGAGAAGGTGCTTTTGGTTCTAGGTTTCAGGACACCTTTTATGACTGGGAACCTTGAGACTGCTGGTCATCAACAAATTGAGGTGGGGATTTGAGGGAGAGCAAAGGAAGAGCCTGTGGATGAACTTGATATTTTAATAAAATGTCTGCTGTGATTTGTGTGTGCTTCATGACTAGTGGTAGAATTTTCGTGCTGAAAAGACCCTTAAAAGCATCTTCTCCAACGCCTACATTTTCCAGAAACAGAGTCTGACATCTGGAAAACTTTAATGAGTTTCTCACACTTAAGTAGCTATGGGCAGAGAGAGCCAAGACAAGAACCTGACCTAAATTCTGATTTTTCCTTCACCCTTACATGCTAAATTCTCTTGCTAGCTGGGCAAGTGACTAGTATTAGCTGTCCCCCGTGCACTCCTCACCCAATCTTAAGGCCAAAGTTTGGGGGTCCAGACATTTCCCTAGAAGGTATAGCAAGATGAGAAAAATCAGACGTCACATTCTCCCATAGTAATGGGCCCATCTGCTCATGTCTTGCTGTTCCTTGCCCACGCTATGTTGTTCCTTCCTCTCTCTGTGTCTTACATAATGATACCAGTAGAAAGAGGGAACTTGGGAGGGACAGAATGAATGGGGGTCTGTGACTATGGGTGGAGGGAGATTTTTCTGGAAAGCTCTCAAGCTTATTTACTTACTACTCAAGAATACATAAAATTTTATTGCAAAAGACTCAAATGATATAGAAGGTGTACAGAACAAAGTAAAAGGTGGGGAGAGTAAAGGGAGACTTAAAAAAAAAAAAAGACAGTTTCAATGAGATTTAATTGATGCATAGTAAGCTTCCCTGGAGGTGGGAGCAAAGACTTTTAATGTAAACTTTTGTCCTCCTCCCAAAAGACTGGAGAGTTTGGCCATATTATATGCAACCAAGTTCTTTCTAGAAGGTTATCTAGTTGTACTCACTTTCTTGTAGCAAATGCCTGACTCTAGCTAATTCTTCATCTTTGTCCTTAGGCGCGCAGGTCCATGTTATGTCAGTTTGCTAAATCTCCCTCAAGAGGGAGATGAATCACCAGCAAATCGGATGTTAACTTTGTCAAGGGGCATGATTTGGGGGCATAACAAGCATTCAGAGCCATGGCTGGTTAATACTAGTTGGAGTAAAAAGTAAAATCAAAAAACAAAGACAAACAACTAGGTTTTTTGCATAGAAATTGGTCATTTAGTGGTACCAAAGACAGTTGCAAGAAAAATTCCTGAGACTAGTCTCAGCAACTTGACAGGTTGAGGCAAGAGTATTTCTTTACTCTAAGAGTTTTCTTTTTTTTTCTTTTTTTGGCCATGGCCAGGTTTGAACCCACTACCTCCAGTATATGGGGCCGGTGCCCTACTCCTTGAGCCACAGGCACTGCCTGAGTTTCCTTTTTTTTTTTAAGACACATTTATTGAGCATCACGATCAGATTACATTACATTTAGCAATCAACAGCATGGGTGCAAAGAAACCAATCTACATTAATACCTTCTGTTGGGATGCTTTACACTTTTCTACTTTTGGAACAGAAACCAGAATAACCTGTTATACAATTGCTCACAAACACAGTCCTCAATTTTTTTGCCCATACTCATGAGTATTGTCCAAAACATGTCTTCTTTGTAGCAGCCTGGCCCCGCCACCACTGTGCTTGGCTGAGTTCACAAATCTGTTGTAACCCGTAGCTTCCCTGTCACTTCTCTGGCTCTCCTCTCCTGCTAAACTTTGTTTCCTGGGAATAATTAAAACCTTCTGCCACTCCCATAGCTACTGCTGCTACTGGAGCCACTATCACCACCTTGGTTTTGTGGTTTGACAAAGTATTGGCCACGACCACCATAAGAGCCAGAGCTTCTGCCTCCAAAATTTCCTCCCTTCATGGGTCCAAAATTTGATGACTGACTGTTGTAATTAAATCACTGTAGCTTCTACCACCTCCAAAATTGCTCCCATCATTACCAAATCCAGGGTAGCCATCCCCACTGCCACCATATCCACCACCACCACGGCTACCACCAGAGCCGCCACAACCACTGAAGTTTCCTCTACAGCCAAAGTTGTTATTTCCACCAAAATGACCTCCAAGGCCCTCACCAAAGTTTCCAGAACTACTTTGACCTCTTTGGCTGGATGAAGCACTAGCCATCTCTTGCATCTCTTGCTTTGACAGGGCTTTCCTTACTTCACAGCTGTGGCCATTCACAGTATGGTATTTCTGAATTACAGTGTTATCCACAGAATCATGGTCATCACATGTAACAAAAGCAAACCCCTCTTCTTGCCACTGCCTCGGTCAGTCATGATTCCAATCACTTCCACTTTCCCATACTGTTCCAAATTGTTTCTGAAGTGATATTCTTCAGTATCTTTTTAAATGTCACAAACAAAGATCTTTTTCACACTTAAGGGGGCAGCAGGTCTTTGAGAATCTTCTCTGGAAACAGCTCTTTTTGGTTCCACAACCCTTCCATCCACCTTGTGTGGCCTTGCATTCATTACTGCAGCCACCTCCCCCACAGTGGTGGATGTGACAGACCCAAAGCCCCTGGAGTGCTTGTTGTTCGGATCTCTCATTACCACCCGGTCTGTGAGCACTACCCACTGCTCACAATGGCTCCTCAGACTTTCTTCAGTCATTTCAAAACTCAGCCCTCCAATGAGGAGCTTCTGCAGCTGTTCTGGGCTCTTTAGGAGACTCTGACTTAGACATAACAGCAGTGGGAAGCGAGACTTCCTTGGCAGCATCCACAGGCAGAAAGGAGGAAGCTAATGAACATATCTCTACTCCAAGAGTTCGAGATTGCTATGAGTTATGATGCCACAGAATGAATTTTCCTGCCTCAAAGGAAAAATGAGAGAGAGAGAAACTCCCGCGTGAATGGAAGAAGCACAATTTTCAAAATTTTGGTCTGTGAAGTGTTTTGATATTTTAAAAATTGTATCCATCAGATGGATATAAGGCAAAAAAAGACATTTTTGTAGCATGCACAAATTTCTCAGGCCACACATGTGAGAGTGCAAATTTTAAATAATATTAAGTGTATAATTAAAATAGTTAATATAGGCTGGGCATGGTGGCTCACACCTATAATCCTAGCACTCTGGGAGGCTACAGCAGATGGATTGCTTGAGCTCAGGAGTTTCAGGCCAGCCTGAGCAAGAGCAAGACTTCATCTCTACTAAAAATAGAAAAAACTAGCTGGACATTGTCGCAATTGCTCATAGTCCCAGCTATTTGGCAGGCTGAGGCAAGAAGATGGCTCAAGTCCATGAATTTGAGGTTGCTGTGAGCTATGACACCACAGCACTATACCCAGGGCAACAGAGTGAGACTTTGTCTCAAAAATATATATATATTCTACCAAAAGGAAGGGTAATATTGTTAATTTCACCCTTAGAAAAAACTCCGTCATTTGGGATTTAAGTTCGGTTAATTCAGAGATTTCCTATTCTGCCCTCCTCGCCCAGAACTGTTGCCATAGTACTGCTGGGAAGGTGATTGTCTAGATAAAACCCATGCTGCTCTTGCTGCTCATGTCTAAGCTCTTACTGAAGCCTGGTGCTCAGCTTCCATTCCTGTGGGGCCCTGCCAGCCCTGTCTGGGCACAGCTGCTCTGAACACTGCTATCCCTCTCAGCCACTTGTGGAAGAGAGTCCTCGAACTGCTCTCACCTTGGCAAGTGTTCTAGGAATCTGAAGCTGCCCTGACATCCCACACAGAGATGAAATTCCCTGAAGATGTGACAAAAGACAACTTCATAGGGACTTGCTTCCTCACAAGATGGGAAAACAAGAAATGAGGCCATAGTCTACAATTTATAGTGGTCCCCAGACCACTATCACACATTTTCCTCAAATCTATCATATGACAATAGTCATCCCATTTCCTTCATTCTTAGACCAAAGTTCAAAAATTCTATGTCCTGCAAATCAGAAGTTGGGCCTTTTGAACTATTAACTCTGTTTCAGTTGACAAAACCTACTTTGAAACTTCGAGGCTAAATATTGTGATATTTCTGTCTCTGCATTTCTGCGGTAATAGCCCTACTGTCTGAGTGGGGGAGAAAGAGCATGAGAAGCAGTATAAGGAATTGTGGAGTGGGGGACAAGAGGAATAGCAAAATATAAGCCTGCACATCTGCTTTCGCCCACCTGGATTTGTGTTCATGTTCTTCCCTTCCTGAAATCCCACCTCCCTTCCCCACCTATCCCCTCATAAGGGTCCCCCTGGACATCTCACTGCCAGCTCTGGGAAACCTTTCTCAAATTCTCCAGCACCCACTGGTCTCCCTCAGCGCAGCCCCAGCACATCTGCCTACCTTACTTCAAGATTTCATTATTTCCCACACAACAGTATCGTCTTCCCCAATAGAGTAACTGCCGGCCAGGGACAGGCCTTGTTTCCACCAGCTTTGTGATTTAACGGAGCCCGTAAATGTGACCAGCAACCTGATGTTCTGAGTCATTCATAACTGCCTCCTGAAGTGAACCAAAGTTCTGCTGTACACACGACTTTCTCCAACAACTAAACTGACCACCAACTGACCACCAACCCTATTACCTACAACTTTTTTTTTTTTTTTGAGACAGGAGCCTCAAGCTGTCCCCCTGGGCAGAGTGCCGTGGCATTGTAGCTCATAGCAAACTCCAACTCCTGGGCTCAAGCGAGTCTCCTGTCTCAGCCTCCTGAGTAGCTGGGACCACAGGCGCCCGCCACAACGCCCAGCTATTTTTTGGTTGCAGCCATCATTGTTGTTTGACGGGCCCGGGCTGGATTTAAACCCGCCACCTTAGGTGTATGTGGCTAGAGCCTTAGCCACTTGAGCCACAGGTGCCAAGCCACCTTCAACTTTTTTATCTCACAGCACACTTGAACCTATAGTTAAACTTCCACGGCACACTTAAATTATGTTGATCAAAAGAAAGAGTAAAAAGGAAGAAGGCTCGGCGCCTGTGGCTCAAGTGGTTAAGGCG